ATGTTTACCTTTGCAAGATGTATATAAGATTGAGGTGATTGAAAATTCAAGCATGCTTCAAGGCTGACCATATGGTATCCCCTGTTCTGGTGAAAACCAATTCTCCCATTCTCAGCATTCCTTAGCTGCCTGTAGTTCCTTGTGTACGACTTGGGTCTCTTTACTTTTCTCCTATTCATGTTAGTATGTCTATTGTTCTCCTTGGTCAGATTGTATTTATATATTTAGTGTACATACACATATGTGTCACAGTTAGTGAAAAAAAAAGAAGCCATGAGTTAGAAAGAAAGTAAAACTGTGTATATGGGAGAGATTAGAGGGAGGGAAGTGAAGGGGACAAATGATGTAATTATATCATAGTCTCAATTTTTTCCCTCGAATGTGAAGGGAGAGGGACTCTGGAGACCAATCTGAGGAGCCACTGATGGCTAATTGGTGCTGAAGGAGGCGGGGTCATTTTCCTTTGGGCTTAGGCATTTAGAGAAGGTTCTTGGGCAAGGCTTTGTAGACTGTGTTCCACTCTCAGAATTAATGGGCTGATCTTGAAGTTATTCCTTAATGCTTTGTTATTAGAATAATCTGGGAAAGCTTTAAAGAAGGCATCACCTGGGGAGATTTGCAAATTTATTCATATAATGTCAAAAATCATCATTCAGATTTGTCAAGCCAAGGAGACTGCTAGAACAATTAAAGAGTAAAGATAGAAGGGACATAGGGGTAACTCATCTCTATGTTTTCAATCACCAGGTTATACTTTTCTTTCCCCTCCCTCTCTCCTTTTATCCTTTCCTTCCTTCTCTTTTCTTTCCTTCCCTCCTTGCTGACTCTTCTTTCTCCCCCACCTCCTTATATTTGTTTGTATGTTTGGCTTTTGGCAAATATTTGCCCTCTCACATTGTACTTTGGAGTTCTGTCTTTATGACCCGTGAAGATGATTCTGCTGAAGGGTCCAAATGTTATCACAGGAATTCAATCCTGGAATTTGAACATGAACTGTGTTCACCAAATCAAACGTGAATTTAGTACAGACTTCATTTGGAAGCTGCAGTGCCATTTTGGTCAATCTTCTTATCAGCCCCGTTCTCTGTGTTTTCTAAGGCAACCTGGACAAGGAGACAGTCAACTCTTGTGAGATGGTGGAACGTCTAAGAACTGCTGTGATTGAACTTCTCTAGTGAATCTGCATCCAGGGTTCGGTCCTACACATCATTTCATCAACTCTACTTTTCTCTATTCCTTGCAAAGTTGGTTTCTGTTACTCCTTTATCTGCTTTCTTCATTGAGAATATATATATATATATATATATATATATATATATATATATGAGAAGTTAGAATGTACAAATGAAAAACACAACACTGAATGAAAATAGATGGTTTGTATACTGTTTAGATTACTGGCAATGTGGTTTTACTTGAGTTTTAAAATTTAAATCAATTGCCAAAGCACAGTGATTCTCAGGGACAGAGAAATAGCTGTAATAAACTTAACACCCTCATACACTTCCTGCATGCAGAGGCATTACACTCAATTACTATTTCTCTTCATTCATTGTTAAACAAAGTTTTATATGAAATCAAAATGAGTGAGTACTACTGCTTCGATGAGGAAAATAGTCCAGCCGGTAACTTTCCTTACCCAGCTCAGCATTGTAAACTCGGATGGTTTTTAGTACTTTATGTCTTGGCGTTGTCAATGCTTGTGCTCTTGCTTAGGAAAAAGAAAAATCACTGTTGGACTTACTGGTAGGTTACTAATATGTAGATTGAAGTTCACCCTTCACAATGACATAATCAGGAACTAAACGTTAGGTATTCTGAAGGGTCTGGTTTCTCCCAGAAGTCCCAAAAGTAATAGTGTTGTGTATTCCTGATACAAATACTGACTAATGAGTGATTCAAAAATGTTTATTCAAGAAATGTGCTTTAAAGACTATGGGTCTCAAACTATGTAGGAGTTGCTTTAGGAAAATTTAAATTGTGACTGTATAGACTACACTGGCAATGTAAAAGTTACATATTTTTAAAAAGTGCCTGTGGTGATCTGACTACGAAGTGACAATAGGAAGCCACTGACCTATGAAATAAGGCACTGATCTAGGAAGAGTATTAAGCCTTGTTTGATCTCTAGACCAGGTGTAACATCAGCTTTCAAGTAGGTACCTACTGAGAATGTATAATTCCTATTCTCAACCCCACGATTACAGAATAAAACTATGATTCCCTGGGTGGTTCCTATGCATTTTAAATTTTAAGAAGCATTGAGGCATCTAGCCCAGCAGGCATGCTTGAATAGTTGGATTAAAGTTGCAATTGAAAGGCATTCCTAGCCCTAACCCCCTCTACTTAACTAAGCATCTTCTATCTTGATTTTCACCAGTATGCCTCCCCCAAGATAGAGAGATTTCTTTATTGCTGTGCATTAAGTTGGATTTCAAAGCCAGAGTACTCCAACATTCTAAAAGTTTTCCGGGTAGGAAGAAAGCTTATTTCTCTACTGTTTCCATAAACAATGGTTTTCCACTCCAACTTCATATTTAGCTCTACTTGTGGGACTTTAAAAAATGTACTGGTCCCACATTATACATATTAAATTAGAATTTGGGGTGATGAAGTCCAATGCTGGCATTTTCTAAAGCCGTCCAGTGGATTTTAGTGGGCAGCTGGTTTTGAGAACTACTTTGGATGAACTCTCTGATATATCATTGTCTTGTTTAATATATTATAGAGCAATTAGTAATTTTGGATTCCTGGAAGACTGATATCAGTTACTTCAATTAATAAAATATTAAACTGCATTGTATGAATTAAATATTTAGAGCATGCAGGTTGACAGTAACCTCAATTCACTCCTATTTATAGATGATGGTTGATTGTACATAAGGAAATGAATTAATGGCATACATATCATGTAGCAATGCCCACATAATACTATTATTTCGATATATAAAATGTAACACTTTTCATTGATATTTAGATTTGCCATATCTTTAGACACCACAAAGCAAAAATATCTTAGCTCTGTCTCTGTAAGTGCATCCTAGATGAATGGCAGAGAGCACCATGGGGTGCTCCTTAGCAGAAGGACATCAGCGACTATGATACATGCACAATGTAGATAGAGTCTTATACAATTTCCTGGCTATGGGTCCAAAATTCCACTTCAAGTGAAATGATAAACAAATATCACATATCAGCCTTCAAACAAAAGTTGAAAATGACTAAGGAATCAAATGACTAAGTAGTTGGGCACATACCTTAGCTGAAGAAAAACAGCCATGTGCCTTCCACAAGATAAGCAAGCCCAACTCTAAATAATACCAAATATAATTCCAAAATGTATAAAATCGAAGGTATAACGGTAAACATTTCTTTCAAAATTATTTTACTCAACCTTGAAAAGAAAAACATTAAAGAATTTGGCTCTTCTTAAGTAAGACCCTTTTTGGATTCTTGAGTTTCCTGTCGACCAAGAAAAAGTTTTTCTTTAAATGCCAGTTGGAAAATGTGAGTAAGACATTACTATCATTCCATTTGGGGTGCTCAACTTCTAAGAAAAATACACATATATAAAATAAAAACCCTTCAAATTCCTGTGCTCTACAGATAGCAGTGCTCCATCCAGAGTGCTGGGCGACATCCTTAACCCTGACCTTCTAGCATTATCATGGAGTTAGAATATTAGTGACTACATACTTAATTTATGTCATTCATAATAGCAACATGAAATTCAACAGACCTCAGCCTATACTTGATCTTAAAAAAAAAGAACTTTATTCTTTTCCATTAAGCTTAGAGTGTTTCTTTTTTCTCAATATATGTTTTTATTTAAATTAGAAACGTGAATGTTTCACATGTCAGTCCCAGCTCCTTCTCCCACCCCTCCTTCCTTGTCCCTCCACCAGTCCCCCAGCCCCCCACCCAATCCCACATCATTCCCCAGGGAGGGTGAGGCCCTCCTTGGGGGGGGATCACTTAGAGTGTTTCTTAAGTTAAACAAGACTCTTTAATGCTCCATGAAGAAATATGTAGTAATAAATTGCATCTAAATGGGTATATTTCATATATTTATGATTAAGGATTTAAGAAATGATGAACATTTAACTGACAACTATCCTGTCACATGCACATTTTTAAATCTTCTCATGTTGCCATTTTATCATTTGCAAATCTCACAAGTAAATCATGGGAAAATAACAATAGCCTCTTCTGGCAGGTTTGGGGACAAAGTGACTATCATTCTAAAAGTGTAACTTGGCTGGACTTGATGGGACACACCGTTGACCACAGCACTTAGCAGGCAGAGGCATGTGGGTCTCTATGAATTCAAAGCCAACCTGGTCAACACCACAACACCATGAGTTCTGAGTTCTGGGTGGGCCAGTGGTGCTCAGTAGTTAGATATTTTAACTATATTTTAATCCATATATATGGAGAGAGAGAGTCAGAATGAGCACAGGGGAGAGGGAGAAAGACAGAAAGGAAGGAAAGGAAGGAAGGAACAAAGGAAGGAAGGGAGAGAGGGAGGGAGGGAGGGAAGGAGGGAGGGAAGAAGGGAGAAAGGGAGGAAGAAAGAAAAAAGAAAGAAAGAATAGAAAAGGAAGTAATGAGCTAGTTGTTTTCTTTACTGGATGGTTGTATCTGGTGTCACTTTTATAGTTTTTAGACTAAGTAAAATGTTCTGCTTCCATTTACTTGTAATGTATATTTTATTACAAAATAATGTGTATCAAACACAGGAGCATGATTACTAACCACGGTGAGGATAGAAAAAAACTGTTTGAGGAGATACTGATTACAATCTCCTGTGGGACATCACCTTAAGACCTTAGGTCAAGTACTTCACTGTTCAGGGCAGCAATCCGTCTTTAAAATGAGACTGTTTGCTTGGCATATTCAGATTTTACCATCAATTCTTACAATACGACATGGCTTAAATTGTGTTTGCTAGTATGAGTAGCAAACAGAACATTTTATTTTTTTGCTTTAAGAATACTTACAGTTGAGGCTGGTGGCCCCGGAGGCCCCATATCACCCTAAAATAGGTGAAAGAAAAGTTGCAATTACCAACAGCTTCTTTAAGAGTTTCTGGAAAGAGGCAATATATACAGATAAATCTTTCTTATGACTTTATTTATTCTTTCAGAATTTCACAGGATATAGTTTGATCATATTCTCCCCCCCTCCCCAAACCCTTCCAGACCTCCCCCATATCTCTACCAACAAATTCATAGTCTGAAAGGACATAGAAATAGAATTTTTCTTGGTAAAATTTTCTGCGCAGTGAGAGCTTCATCATGTTCCCTTTAGGGCTTATGACATGAAAATCGCCTTGTGTGCCCTTGTGCTTTCTGCAGTAGCAAACGTGTTTTGAAAAACTAAAATAATCTAATTTTCTATTCTTTCGACTATGGAATCCAAAATTAGAAAAAATTATCTTTCCAAATGTGGTTACTTGCCAATGGAGCAGCTGGGAAGCGTCATAGTGACAGATAATTTTTCCGGCAAAGTTAGTATGAGCATCAGCAGAAATAATAAGTGCCCCCCCCACTCCATGCCTTCCAGCTGCAAGGAACGGTTCCCACCACCTCTCCTAGGCGCTGCTGAGTGGGCATCACTCATGCCTTCCGCATTCACAGGCTTTTCCTCCATCTGCGTATTTTCCAGTGCTAGAGTCGCTTTGCTGACCTGCGTGAATACAGGTTTTCAGGTATGTGCATGTTGACTACTAAAAAGTCTATGAAAGTGCTGGGTGTAGTGGTATACTTTAAATCCCAGCACTGGAAGGCAGAGGCAGGAGGATGTCTATGATTTTAAGGCCAGCCTAATTGACATAGCAAGTTCCAGGCCAGCCAGGGCTACATAGTGAGACCCTATTTGAAAACAAATTTTTTGAAAAGTATTCACAAGTTCATGATGTGTCACTCCTGTGTTTCACATTCTTGGAAGCTCTGCTCATTTAATGAGGACTCTGTCATCAGGACTGAGTGTCCTCTCCGTGACTTTCATTGAATTGAACATTGTGGAGTACGTGTGCCTATGGAGTGTGCCACGGGGCTGACTGTCATGGCAAGTATACCTAGGATTTTCTCGTTAAACTTAGTTATCTCAAGTTTAAGACACAATATTGCATATTCATTAATTTTTGCACAGTTGCACCAAAATAACAGCCGTTAAGGAACTAAAATCAGTCACCAGGGATTGCTCTGTGAGATCATATTTAACTCAGAGATAAATATTTAAGACAGAAAAGGAATTCGGCATCTGCTGACCATGGAGCATAAAATGCAGACGCGTACGACTCCTATGAAATCAGTATTGCTCAGTTGCCTTATACAACACAACCTTGCCTTTAATATTTGTTAGCTCTCACTGAGAAGCATCTGTCAAAATTCTGTCATAAGATGGTCCACAAGAAATGGAGCATTTAATCCAAGGCTGAGGCGTGAAGTTTGCTTCCTTCCCGCCAACGCCACCTGCCTGAAGTTTAAGGTGACAGTGTGGTGTTATTGGCCAAGTTTCCTGAGGTAAGACACTTTTGCTAATGTGGTGTTGGAACACCTCAGTGCTGTCAAGCAAAGGTGAGAAACAGCCAGTTCTACACGTGTTAATGTCACCGCCTCTCACACTAAAGCAACCAAAAGGCTTTCCGCACTCAGAGATTTTCCATGTAACAACCTTCCATTAATCCCAGGATGTTTGTGCAATCAGAAGAGATCTATAAGAAGTCACTTAGTACTGAAGGGATGGTGTCTTAAAATAAGGTCGGGACACTCGGGGGTAGATACAGTACCTTTTCTCCTTTCGGGCCAGGTGGACCTTGAGGACCCAAGTCACCTTTCAAACCCTGTAAAGAACATAACAAAAATCATTTCTATATAAGAGTCACCAACAGCTTCAATTACTGAGAAATTATTAGTAAGAAAATGAAACATGTTTTCCTGAACTGCCAAATCCCATTCTTCCCTTTCTAGTGGAGAGAGAGACAGGCAACTGGCACCAGAGTGATAAGGAACATCTGTGCCACGGTGGCTTCAGATGCATTAAACCAGTGCGAGGCCTCAATACTGCGTATTTGTGCAACTTCACTTCCTGCTAAAATTACATTAATTCACCATCTGGGAGAGCATCATTTAGATCTATATGAGCTTTTAAGTATCCTCTCCGGATTAAATTTGTGGATGTTGTAAATACCTCTGATTTAGCATTGATTTAGTCTTTATAAAGCTTGCCAAAAAATTTCTCAGTTACATCAAAAACACGTTCACATCTCTATCAAGAAATTTAATTATTGGGCGGAGGGCTACAGTAGCTGCATTCCTTTCCTGTCACTCATCAGGCTGGAGCAAAAAATGTAGCATGCTGTCCATTGAGAAGTGTGTTTTAGTTTTCTAATTCCTTTCCTTTTTTGAACCTGGATCTGTAAAGCTATCACATGGAACTACATGAGATGTAGAGAGATTGTCAGATGAATATTTTCACATATCTTTGGGATTCTTGGGTGTTTTAGAGGTATTTAGTTGGTGATGGTGTCATCCGTTTGACAGCTGAATGTGTTCACAGAGGAAACAGAAGGCAAGTCGAATAAAACATCCTGACTGTGTGGCAAGCAGGAAAGGTATCTACCTTCATTTTTAACACACCGGTTGAGGGAGAAAGAATAATGGGAAAAGGAAGCATTTGGGAGTGATATTACACATAATTTTAAGTCCAAACAGTTTGCTGTTCCTAGCTGAGGGATCTCACTATCACTACCCAGCGTTTTGTAATGAATTAATAACAAACAGGTAAGGTATTCAACATAGAATCCAAGGACAAAGTGAAGTGACAAAAATTAATTAGATAAAACAATTTTGTTGCACAGAGAGAGTGAAATCCATTTCAGACATTAGCAATGGCAAAGGATGGGTAAAGCACATTTGGCAAATCATCCAATTTGAAATAAGGAAAAAAACAGAAAAAAAACTAACTAAACCCAAAACAGAAAACAAATGAAATAACGAATAAATACCTTAATATATTTTAATCATTATTTTAGTGTTTAATAAATATTTTGAAGTGTAGTATTCTATTGTTATTTGGAGTATTCGTCTATTTCTTCCCAAAACAGTAGACACTTGAATGTAAAACCTGGCAAAGGAACATCTTAACCACTTAAGGGGAGACAACAGTCATTTCTGTGAATGGATTTCTGCCATTCGTTTATCAATTTACTCAATAAACCTTTACCAGGTGCCTTGAGGTCATCACTGTCCTAGAATTTGGACCTATACTGTCTGGTACAGGAGTTTCACACTGTTTCATGTTCTCCTCTCACCCCAGTCTTCTCAGTGATAAGGATTGAGTCTAGGGTCTTGCTCATGCCATCAAATTATTTACTACTGATCTGCATTTCCAGTTCAGTTTATGATATGTACTATATGAAAATAATGTAGATATTCATTAATACTTTCTTAATACTATTCATAGAAAGGATAAAACTGCCAATAATGGATTAAGTAAGGTGTATTAATAAAAGTAATTTTGCCTGTTTCTTTTTCCTTTCTCCATGTGGCTAATGTAATATGTAACGTATTTGCTTTTGCCTTGAGTTTGTAGCTTTCCCTATACTTCTACAACGCTTTGGAGATGCAAAGAGAACAAGAAGATTACGAAGGTGATCTCCATCACTTAACTTTAACCCTTCCTAACTAAGTCTGGACCATGCCCCTTTCCTGTCTTTGGCTTGTCAACCTGGTTACTGTTTTTTTTAATTGCTAATTCAGCTTACAAAACTCTCTCATCCTTGTAATCTGTTCTTCATCACCCCACTTTGACCTCTTGCTCTGAACTGTCTTGAGTGAGAAAAATTTTAGATCAGAACTGTGCCATGCTTTGTTTCCTTTCAGTAACCACCCCCCCCACCTACACACACATAGTTCTCCTCTTATGCTGCTGTCTATAACTCAACCAATGTCCTTGTGTCTGGAGATGAGCCTGACCCCCTCCCATTACTGCAGTCTCCCTGTTATAGCTGCTTGAATAAAAACTCCTCCTTTAGACTTAAAAAGTATAAATGCAGCATATATTTTTTCTTTTACAAAGCTAAGATTCTTGAAATTTATAAGACTAGCAAGGTGGACAATAAGCAAGTCATTAGACTTAATGAGATGAGTGAAGGAGAGAGATACCTCATGTGGGATGCGTAGAAACCTCTATGTAAAGGTTTTTAGGATCCTAGGGGAAAGTAAAAGGGTGATATAAACAGCAAGTACGATAGTCCCGAGGTAATACAATGCAATTAGTATCTAGATAAGAAGCATTGTTTTAAGTCAAGGACAGTGAAAGTAGATATGTGAAGAATTTTTTCAGTTAATTGGGAGGCCACTTCAGTGTAAGTAACAGGAAAATGATATGACTTTTTAAAATGACATACAGTATATCATAAAACATAAATTCTAGGCTTCTAATCAGAAAAAAAGGATAATGAAAAATTTCCATGCCAGATACCAGAGTGTCTGGGAGAGAATGTTATCTCTGGCCAAGAGATGAGATCAAAGTCAGTACATCCTAGGAGGCAGAAGGGCTAGAAGTGGGCTGGAATGGGAGATATCGAGCTTCATTCATTCTTGGTTTAATTTACTGGCCAAAAGGTTGTGCCACTTGCTAACTGAGAAATCCATTAGGAAGAGGCTGCCTCACTTATTGTTTACAAAAAACTATGTAGATAAATATGCATAGACAATAAGAAGCAAGAAATGGAATATAACAGAAAAATCTGAGATATATTCAAGAAAATTACTAATATTGACAAGCATGTCAGACTGTACAGTTACTATAAAAACATGAATATGAATGTATGTTTTATAAGATGGCAGAGAAGAGTGTGATGACTATTTTATTGTCAACTTGACTATATGTAGAAGTAACTAAGACCCAAAATTGGCTGGGTACACCTTGAGGAATTTTTGCTTAGTTAAGTCATTTGAAGTAGGAAAATCAACTTCCAATCTAGATCTTTTGAGGTGGGGAGACACACCTCTAATCTGGACCACACTGTAGGCTGGACCCCTATATAACAGACATGGAAGCAAGAAGCCTCAACCTTTGCCTGCTTGCTTGCTCTTGCCCTCACTAGCAAATCCATTCCTTCACCGGCATTAGAGCCTATTTCTTTGGGATCCCAAAGTGTATTCAATAACAACTGAAACATCCAACGTCATAGACTGAACAACTATTGTATTTTGGACTTTCTGTTCACAGGCAGCTATTGTTGGATTAGCTGGACCACAGCCTATAAGTCATTCTAATAAATTCTAAAAATGTATATGAGAGATAGAGAGAGAGGAAAGGAGAGAAAGAGGGAGGGATTTCATTTTAAAGTTCTGTTACTCTAGAGAACCCTAATTCAAAGAGTAGACATCATGTGTAGACAGATGATTCTAGCACAAGAGGATGAGTTTGGTAAAATAAGTCTGGCAGATTCTGGGGAAAGGAGATTCTCAGTTATAATGCTTACTTCTGGATTCACTGCAATTATAACTGTAATTCATATCTGTAAAATCCATATGATATATAAAATCATACATCAAAAAATTAAAGACTCCAGTACAATATTATCCCTAGTTGTATTACTAAAATAAAGATGTAATGGTAGTTAAATCAGTAACTTCTAGGGGTTCAATTGCTTGTAGCCAGGAAGGAGATGTCGCAGCAATGACAACTCATTGTAAATACTGAGCTCTGCCAGAGAAGTGGAGAGCTGGCTGGAGATTGTATTTCCCAGTGAAGTCCAAATCTACTGGGCATGCTGCAGACTTGGCAATATGGCATTTGGGAGTCATGAAAAGAATTGTGTTTTTTGCACAATCCTAAGTAGTTAGTGCATCTACATAAAAATAGATATAAGCAATAGACATTTTGAAGAGATGTTCAGAATCATAATGGTAAGAACAGTTAGTAGATGACTGTCACTTAACAAAGCTAACAACCTTTTTTTTTTCAGGACAAGTAAGGGATAACTAATAGTGCTTTTTGTTCTGTTTTGTACTCAGGTTGATAGATATGTAACAACCATGCTTTAAGTCATAGAAAATAAAATGCAGTTGAGAACAACTGCATTTATCAAGCTTCTACAGCTAGGGCCATGGAAGTAGACCCATGTAATCATGTCCCTTGTGACAAAGTACTTTGATGCTAAAGCTATGACTTTGTAATAGGCTCTGAAAAGCAGCTCAGCAATGCTTTTTGCAAGCATGATTTTTCTCTTCTTGTCATGCTGATGCTGCTATCAGTATTATTGAGTGCCAGAGGGGGAGAAGAAAGTCACAGTACAAAAGTACAAAACATGTTTAGAAATATGAGCATTAACCTTTAACAGCTCAGATGTGCTGCAACCAGGAAACCTCGATGATGTGGTCACCTAAACAAGACCTGTATAACAACACCACCTGTGGACATGACAGTGCAGATAAGGGAAATTTCATAAGGCCTCATCTCTAGATGGAGAGCTACAGACTATCAATGACTGCAAAAGAGGAATAATTCATCTTCTAAGGATATGCCCACTGATAAGTTATCCAGTCCTTAGATGGTGGTGCGCTCTAAACAATTGTCCATAAGAACATCATAAAATAGGCCCAATAGGGCATTGGTAATTCTCTTTTAAATAAAATTACACCTGACAATTTTACCAATGCCCTAAAAATCTGTGTTTTAATAAAGTAAACTTTTACAGATATTTAGTACCTTAAAATACAAAATTTAAGCTCAGGTCTGTGTTTGGTTACTCATGCTTAGGAGGAATGAATGTCTTCTCTTGTGCATTACTACAATCCATTGTTTTCATCAAATTTAGTTCATGAAGGA